GGGTTTTATTTTGTATCCTGCTACATTGCCAAGTTACTATATGTACTTAAGATGTCTCTTGCTAAAAAATCTATTTAAAAAAAAACAAACTTGAATATGTTTTATTACAGCTTACTTTTTTCTAAAGTTTTATATATAATCTATACTAATAATAGAGGAATATGCAAATTGTCTGGGACTCGGTCACAGTAACTACCGAAGAGCGAACAGCAGGCTGCGTGGGGCAACAAGGCTGGCAGGGGGGGTTAGTGAGGGACGACCAAACAACTGAACAGCAGGCTGCGTGGGGCAACCAGGCCAGCACGTGGGGCAGTTGGGGGCGACCAGGCCGGCAGGGTGGGGAGCAGTTGGGGGTGACCAGGCCAGTGGAGGGGGGCAGTTGGGGGTGACCAGGCCGGCAAGGAAGGCAGTTAGGGGTGATCAGGCTAGCAGGCAGAGGCAGTTAGGGGTGATCAGGCTGGCAGGGGGACCAGTTAGGGGCAATCAGGCAGGCAGGCAGGTGAGCAGTTAGGAGCCAGCAGTCCTGGATTGTGAGAGGGATGTCCCGGATTGGAGAGGGTGCAGGCTGGGCTGAAGGGGGACCCCCCCACCCCCGCAGAAATTTTGTGCACCGGGCCTCTAGTCATCAAATATTTCAATGGAGCATATGTAATCTATTTCTGACACCAGCCTTAAAAAGTTAACATATTTGCATCTTAATCATTTTACAATTAAAAAACAAGTATGTGGTCATGCCCAGCCAGCATGGCTCAGTGGTTTCGCGTCAACCTGTGAACCAAGAGGTCACGGTTCAATTCCCGGTCAGGGAACATAACCAGGATGCGGGCTTAATCCCCTGTGTGGGGCATGCAGGAGGCAGCCAATCAATGGTTCTCTCTCATCACTGATGTTTCTATCTCTCTCTCCCTCTTTTTCTCTCTGAAATCAATGAAAATATATTTTTTTAAAAACAAGTAGTCATATCTTTTAAAATGGGTCAAGGCTAGGACCTCTACATAGTAAAAGTTCATCAGCAAGTTAGTTCTAGATTCTAGCATTGAGTTTAATTTTGCAATTTAGTTTAATTTAAATTACTGTCCTTGAAGATAGTCAAAATCTCAAAGTAATGAAAATCTGCAAAATAGAATAAAAATGTTATAGGAGCCCAGAGGAAGATTTTATATACTCTTAAATACCAGTGAAATACCATGTACATGACAGCTCAAAATATAAGCACCAAAGTGATTAAATTTACAAGGAGACAACTGCCTGATACTAAAAATAAGTTTGTTCCACAAAGTTACGTTTCTATAAAGGAGGACTTATGTGCTGCTGAAACTTAACCAAAAAGTTACTACTCCTTTTCAGCTTTTATTCAATTTGCTACTAATATAAAAGGATGTAATTACTTTTCCCCAGTATCTCAGGCTCTCAGGAAAGAAACATCAAGTCTTTAAAGAACATTTTTAGCTCCTATTCTGTGCTAAAGAGTGTCCTAACTTAGGATCCTAACTTAGACTACAAACTCAGGCATTTATTAAACACACCCCCACAACCAACTTATGAAAACAAAGAATTTTTTAAAATGACAAATACCCTCAACTTTTTCCAATAACATTTCTAGCCATTAACTTCTAACAGCAAATTGTTTAACTGACCCCACCACACATTAAGAGCAGTTTATATATATAAAGCTTGAATGCTATCCTAAAAAGCCCAAACTAAACACAATTGCTCTAAGGCAGAACACAGTACATACTTAAAGTTTAGTATTACAGCTAATCTTGTATAACATTCAAGATGAAAACATTTTTCTTAAAGACATAAGTTTATGATATAAATATGAATTCAACAAATTACAGAAAACTATTTAAATGGTTATTTTTTATAAATACTTTATATACAAATGTATATTTATTTATAAAAAGTGATGATTCATCTTTGGGGAGTGATGACAAATTGAAACCTGAAAGTCCTAGAAAAATGACAAAGTATTACTACAAGTAGAAATATGAGAACACACAAATGGAACATTTTAAAAATGAAATAAAATTTCTAGAATTTTAAAAACAGAGTAAATCAAAATCAAATGAATTTAGAAAATGTAATCCTACATTATATTTTAAATCAATATTTCAATCAATAGTTACCATTTAAAAATAATTTTATTTAAAAATTAGAGTCAGTGTTTCATTTACACTTATAATAATGCTCACCCACTGGTATTTTTATCTCTATTTTCAAGTAAGAGACTGTAGTTCAGAAAATAACCATATAGTACTTAATAAATGAACTAAGAAGTTGAATATATCTATATGACTCCATAATTATAGCTACAGTAATGTAGCTCTATAATCCAGTAAGACTTGCAAAGAGGTCTCCTGAGAATCACTGCATAAACTTATTACAATCATCTATTTTCTATGCAAAGTAAGTCGGACAACTACTATCAGCTCATATCACTCATTAACCTTAATCTCTCTCTTTCTTGCCCTTCTGTAATATACAGGCTTAAAAGCAAAATACTCAAATTCCCAGACACCTTGGTAACTAGAAGTATCGGTGTGATACAGTTCTGACCGATAACAAGTACCTAACCTAAGAGGGCTTCCCTTCTGGTAATTACCACACTGTTGTCTGTGTCTATGAGTTTTTTATTTTGGGGTTTTTTGTTTTTCTTTTTGTTTGGCTTAATGCCTTGTTTGAGAAAAGTAAGTCCTTAGTTAAGCCTGTTATGTGTGCAGTTTTGGGTAACCTGCAGACTAATGCGATCCTAATACAATGTATGCTATGAATCAAGCCTACTGACTTGAATTGTGTTATTTATCACTTTGGTGAATTAGTTATAAGATACACTAATGATGAAAAATTATCTAAGGGGACAAGTAACAGCAGAGAGCAAATAAATAGCAACTAATAATAGTAATAACAGTAATAGCAATATTAATAATATAATAACAAATAATGGTATATATATTTATACTAAATAAAAGGTAACAGTAATAATAACAAATATTTATTAAACACTCCATGCCAGAGACTGTTAAAGAACTTTAAGGTCCATGAATGTATGTAACCTTCAAACCATAGGATGTTGGTAATATTACCATACCCACCCCCATGGTAAAATTTTCATCAATCCTTGACAAAAACAGAATAATATGATAAAACAGCTAAATTTATTGAGATCATGACCTTTCTATTTTTATGATATTAAAATGTCATGAAGTGAGAATAATGAAGAACAAGTTTACATTCATTTTAACATGCTTAGTTGGCAAAATAAGTCGGTGACAAATCAATAGCTGAGCCCGGTGTTTATGAAATTGTAACAGTCCATGGAATCCAGGTTACCTACTCAGGACCAAAAAGCAGTTTGTTTGACACCAAAGTCCAGGGTCATAAACACTAAGTTACATGAAGGAAATACACTAAATAAACTCAAAAGAACTATTCTGTGAATACCATTAAAGATATAAATGTGTAACTACAAAGGAAAACAGCCATCCCAGGATATATAAAGTGGGAACAAGGGTATGTAACATAATTTTACCATGTTGCCTCCCACAGAGCTACTCTGTGCGGTGTAGACTTTAACCATACCAGAGACGGGGGAATCAAGATAGGAATTCCCACCATTCCAACCTGAGTCTCAGATGATGGTTAGGCTTTGGAGGTTCTCATTTGGGAATAAAGAACTGCACACACTGTGTCTAAAAGAAGTTTGTGGTATCTCAAAGCCAAGGAGCGGAGCAGGCATGCAGATAACATTTGCTCATAAAGCTTGCTCCTCCATTTCTTCCAGCTCTATAAAAGTAGGGGGATCAGCCCTGGCCCAGTGTGGCTCAGTTGGTTGGAATGTAGTCTCATACACCCAAAGGTCCTGGGTTTGATTCCCAGGTCATGGCACATACCTAAGTTGTGGGTTCAATTCCCAGTCAGGAGGCAACCAATCAATGTTCTCTCTCTCCCTCCTTCTCCCTTTCTCCCTTTCTCTCTCTCTCTTTCTCTAAACTCAATAAACATATCCGTGATGAGGATTTTTTAAAACGTAGGGGGATCAGACACGAATAAAGATCGGAAACAAAACTGAAATGCAGGCAAATTCTTCACGTTTTACACCACTGCATTTCAATTTTTTAAACTGTTGAGTTTTTAAAACTCATCTCTAGTTGTTTGGAAGTGTATGTTTGATCAAGCAGTTTCTTAATGGCTAAAAAATGTAACTCAGCCAAATATTTCTAACAATTGGACCAAGCTTTTTCTAATATATTTGAGTGTGCTTTTAGAAAACGGTGTTTGCAAGACTACATAATGTAAGGATTATGCACCGGAAGAAATCAGAAACTTATTGCCTTGAAGGATTCAAATAGTTCCTTATATACAGAACTAGACAAATGTTAAATAGGTTTAGTCTACACCTAACCATTTTCACATTTCTTATTTTATAAGATTTTAGTTGCTTCAAAGTCTGGCCAGGTCTTTTCTTTTTCACTTGTTTCCTCAAACACAATTTATTACTGAAAGCATCAAACAGAAGGGGGACAAATTCTCTTAAAATAAAGAAAAGAAATGGTTTTATATCTTTATAATTGAAAACAGTAAATACCTCCCGGCTTATAGTTTATTTGTAGTTATCTCAAACATTAGGTCCCACATGCTTTAATCCGTCTTCCAGCACCAATTTCAGTTATACCAAAACAGTGCACAGGCCACAAAAACAGCATGCATTCCCCAGTGTTTACCACGAGAAAAGGTGGGTGGCTAACTAGAGGGGGGCTGAGAGGTGGGGGAAGTGCTCCAGGATTGCAATGTGAAGGTTTGTGGAAATATTTCTACCTTGAGCTGATTTTAAAAGAAATTGCTTTTTTCACCCTTTTTGAATCCTAACAGAAAAAGACCTTAAAAGTCTAAATGAAAGCACTGAACACATTCCATTTAGATACAGTGTTATATCATCTATAGCCATAACTGTGTCTCTGACTAGACTTTTTATATATTTTATTGATTTTTTACAGAGAAGGGAAAGGGATAGAGAGTTAGAAACATCGATGAGAGAGAAACATCGATCAGCTGCCTCCCGCACACCCCCCAACTGGGGATGTGCCCGCAACCAAGGTACATGCCCTTGACTTGACTCGAACCCGGGACCCTTCAGTCCGTAGGCCGACGCTCTATCCACTGAGCCAAACCAGTCAGGGCACTGACTAGACTTTTTAAATACCTTTGCCACTCCCTTTCCCCCTTCCATTCTCACATCTACCAAAAATAACAATTTAAACATTTTTTTAATTCACAGGAAAGGAAAAGGGGGGTGGGGAGGGACCTACAACCTTTTTGACTTCCTGGATTGACTTCCTTAAGCTGCTACCACACTTTATTTTCCATTTTGCTTAATGTACATGAGATACATTATTTCCTACACATTTTTTCTTATACCAAATCTTCTAGTTTACTTAAATTTGAAATCATGAAATATTCAAAACTGGTAAAATATACTGTATCTTGTGAATTTCTACAAAATTCAGGTAGGATTAAAAATGAATGAATAGCCCTAACCAGTTTGGCTCAGCGGATAGAGTGTCAGCCTGCAGACTCAAGGGTCCCAGGTTTGATTCCGGTCAAGGGCATGTACCTTGGTTGCAGGCACATACCCAGTAGGGAGTATGCAGGAGGCAGCTGATCGATGTTTCTCTTTCATCGATGTTTCTAACTCTCTATCCCTCTCCCTTCCTTTCTGCAAAAAAATCAATAAAATATTTTTTTTAAAAAAAGATGAATAAAAATAGTTAAGTTACTATTTTAGCCCTCTTGTCTATTTATTGGTGGTGGTGTGTGTGTGTGTGTGTGTGTGTGTGTGTGTGTGTCAAATTTCACCACTTGTCCTAATAACTTTTTTCTGGTCTCCAGCACCCCACATCTCATCTGGTTATCACATTTCCTTAGTCTCTTCAAACCTGTGACAGTTCTTTAGTATTTCCTTTCATACCCTGGACACTTTTGAGTACTAGGCAGTTACTTTATATAATGTCCTTAAATTTGAGTTTGTCTACTGTTTTCCAACACTTAGATTGAAGTTTTTTTTAATAAGAATCTAACCACAGATGTGCCCTTCTCAGTGAATCATGATGTTGATATGTCTTATTATTGGTGATGTAACCATGATCACCTGGTTAATTTGGTGTCGGCCAGTTTTCTTCACTATAAAAGTATTTACTTCCTTTTATAATTAATTAATCTTGTGGCAAAGATACTTTGAGATTATGCAAGTATTTCTGGTATTTGATAGCATGTTTTTCATCATACTTTCACCCACTAATTTTGGCATCCATCGATGACTCTGGCTTGTAACAATTATGCTATGATGCTTGCCTACTGGTAATTTTCTATTTCCATCATTCCTTCCACACTTTTAAAAACTGATTTTAGAGAGAAAGGAAGGGAGAGGGAGAGAAATATTCATGTGAGAAACATGGATCGGTTGCAGGATGCACACTCCCCAACTGGGGATCGAATGAACCTGAAACCTAGGCATGTGCCCTGACTGGAACTCGAACCCCAAACCCTTCGGTGCACAGGACGATGCTCCAACCAACTGAGCCACCCCAGCCAGGGCTCCTTCTGCACTTTTTCTTGGAATTCTACTATAACAAGGAACTTCTCCCCCAATTATCTATTTATTGCCTTATTTACTTATATTAGTACTAATGGCTCAATGCATGAAATTCGTGCATGGGGGGAGGGGTCCCCTCAGCTCAGCCTGCACCCTCTCCAATCAGGGACCCCTTAGGGGATGTCCGACTGCCGGCAGTCAGACATCCCTCTCGCAATCTGGGACCACTGGCTCCTAACCGCTCAACTGCCTGACTGCCTGATCGCCCCTAACTGCCCCTGCCTGCCTGATCGCCCCTAACTGCCCCCCCCCTGCCGGCCTGATCGCCCCTAACTGCCTCTGCCTTGGCCCCCACCACCATGGCTTTGTCTGGAAGGAAGTTGTACCTCCGGAAGATGGCCTGTCGACCTGGTCTAATTAGCATATTACCCTTTTATTAGTATAGATGAGCTCAAGAAATATTTTTTCCCTAGAGATTATAATCCATTATTTACCTTGTTGCTCAAATTGTCCTCAATTTGGCCACTGGAACGCCTTTGTACATACATCTATTAGATTTCCTTCTGACTTGTAAAAAATGTCATTTCAGTAGGGGAAGGTCAAGTAATTTCTCTGAATGAGGAATCACTGATGGCTAAGACTAATCTTATCACTTCCATTATGGAAAAAAAAATGTACATATTGAAATATCCCAAACATATTGTACTATTATTATACCTCTTGCTTAGCCAAGACTTCATAAACTTTGGTCTGTATAGATTATTACAGAATTTTCTCACCATTGTCACTATTTAAATCTATCTCATCTTCACACACACACACACACACACACACACACACACCCTAACCCACAATCCCCACATATTATTGGTATTTCAGGAACATAAATCCAAACTACTCAGTGACAAAAGCAGAAATTCATTTTAGCCAAAAGGTAATGAGACTTATGCCGAGTGAAAAAAGCCAATCCTTAAAGGTCAAATCCTGTAGGATTCCATTTACATAACATTCCTGAAATGATCAAATTATAGCAGTGAAGAACACATTATTAACCTTTGCCAGAGGCAGGGTGGGGAGTAACTGTGGCTATAAAAGGGCAAGAGACATTCTTGTGGTGATGGAATTGTTGTGTATCTTGACTATCAATGTTAATATCCTGGTTGTGACATTGTACTATATAGTTTTGCAAGATATTAGTAATATCTGCATTCTTTTTTAACACTGCATGTGAATCTACAATTATCTCAACGTAAAAAGTTTATTTTTTAAAGTGGGTAATGAGTTTTAACTCTGCAGTGAATACTCAGAAGTCAGATAAACAGCACAGTGCCCCAACCCCTAGATCCACTGATTGCTAGTTTAGCTTCTAGGAAAGTTACAATCAGGCCTCAGCAGAAAAACATCTAACACCTAATTCTTCTTTAGGGTCTTTTCCTTTCTCAGTTTTTATGTTAGGTAGGAACAAATACTACCAGCTAGAATAGAGAGCAGAAAGGTGCCAAGGGCCAGATATTATGGTATTTCAATTCATTTAGCTCATATTAAATTTCTGAGAAATTCTAAACCTCCACAATCTATGATTTTCAACTTGCACAAGCAATGAGAAATTACAGCAAGAGGGAAGAGGGTTTTAGTTCCAATGGCAAAACCAAGTTTCCCCTTCAAGTCACTGACATCAATCACACATCTTATGATTAATGAATGTGAAAACACAGAAACAATAGGGCCAAGAGAATTTAAAATGCAAAAGCTAAACTTTCTGCTCCACCAAAACTACCCCACCCACCACAGCCACACTAAAGACAAATCGTTTCACTAACTGAAGAAGAAAAGGAAGTACCTGAATTCAGCAGGAAACGCATACTTCATACGGTTCAGTAAGAAGTGGCTAATTAGCATGTGAGAATAAAGGTGTTTTTTATTTTTCCTGAAAAGTTAAAAATCCTAAACCAAAATAATGTGGCAATCAGCTTATCATTTCCCCCGACAAAGGCTGACATTTTAACTATATGTATTCAAAAGCTCTAACAAAGCTACAATTATATGTTACTACAAACTGCTTCTCCTTCCTAATTTAACATTAATCTATCTAAATAAAGAACAGTGTAGGGGAAGAATAAGGACCTGTTCTCAGACTCACTACAATCATTACATCCCAAGTCAATTGCAAATTGTTATTATAAACTAGAGTCCTGGTGCACGAAATTCATGCAAGGGGGATGTCCCTCAGCCCAGGCTACACCCTCTCCAATCTGGGACCTCTCGGGAGATGTCCGACTGCCGGTTTAGGCCGGATCCCGCTCAAAATCCAGGACTGCTGGCTCCTAACCGCTCACCTGATCACCCCTAACCACTCTCCCCTGCCGGCCTGATCGCCCCTAACTGCTCTACCCTGATGGCCTGATCACCCCTAATCACCTCTGCCTCAGCCCCAGACCACCATGGTTTTGTCTGGAAGGACGTCTGGAAGGATGTCCAGAAGACATCCTTTCTAATTAGCATATTACCCTTTTATTAAGATAGATGAATTCACTTTTTGCCTGCTTAAATTCAGACACTCCTTGACTCTTCCCAGGCAGAATGCTTCCGAGTCACGTTATCCTTACAGGTTAAGAAAAAGTCATGTATTTAGCATAATGATATGATAAATCAGACATTTCATATTAGATTCCAAACTGAACACATAGAAGGTACCAAAGTTTAAGAAAAAAATAGTGTAAGTTAAAAAAAAAAACAAGAAAATTATATTCAACAACCTGGGGTTTTCCCCCAACGAACTAGGAAATGTCCATCACTGTCATTGGCCATGACTGGAATGTACTGGCATAATGTGAGCGTAGTTGGATGCAATGAGCAGCTGGCATAAACGTGCACACATTCCGCCAGCCTGTCCAGCAGTCTACCGCATATTTCTGGTCCGTCTCCACTGCGTAACTCAGGCGCCCAACCATCGCAAGCCTGAAAAACAGCCACACATTTCCTGGGCTCTTCTCACTCTCCTCCAAACCACAAGCTTCTACACTCCAGTGGAGTCACTCCCCATCCCCTACTCACTCACTCCCTTGGCCTCCAAGCACATTGATCAAAGGTTTGCATATCTTTTCTTACCATCATGTGTGCTACTTTTATGACAGTGTGTCAGTCTGGACTCTTCTTCGTGTCTCCTAGTTCACTAGTAGGTGAGTTCAGCTGTTACAGCACTAATGAATCACATCCTACTTACAGGATACAATAGACTGGTGAATTACTTGAGGGACATAGGTCTCATTTCATCTTTTGAATTCCCGAGGCTTGGAAAATAATAGGTATTTCCATTAAAATGTGCCGCAATATGGAAGAACTATCATTAGACATTGCACTGACTAGTAAATAGTAAATGTACTTTCTTTGACTTCATTCACTAAACAACCTCAGAAAGCTATTGTCCCCATTTTACAGATGAGGAAACTGCTACCAAAAATGGGGTGAGAAGGAATAGCCCATAAAATGCAGGTATCAAGAAACTATCACCAGTGTCCACATTTCCATATCTCTTTAGTCTAGACCCAAGTTACTTCAGGTAATTACAATTCCTTAAAAAGTAAGTTTTCAAATGACTCAAGAAGCACTGTCTTTCTGTGGTTTTAAAAGTTCTTTATTTCAGAGTTAATTTGTATTTGAGGCATATGCCACGATTACTTTATGTCACATTACTTTACTTGATTTGAATTTTATTTTTTTTAAAATATATTTTATTGATTTTTTACAGAGAGGAAGGGAGAGGGATAGAGAGTTAGAAACATCAATGAGAGAGAAACATCAATCAGCTGCCTCCCGCACACCTCCCACTGGGAATGTGCCCGCAACCCAGGTACATACATGCCCTTGACTGGAATCGAACCCGGGACCCTTCAGTCCGCAGGCCGACGCTCTATCCACTGAGCCAAATCAGTTAGGGCTGGTTTGAATTTTAAATATCACCAAAGGCAGATCTTATTGTAATCATGTAACTCACCCCCAAAATTCACCCAGATAAAGTTTTTCTTCAAGCCAACAGTAAATTTTTAAAAAAAAGACCCAGTGCATTTTTTTATTAAGCAAAGAAAATCTGACTTCAGAAAGTGAGCTTTGAAGTGACAGTGAGTCCTACCTTTCTTATTAAATGGCAATGATAGGAGGTGATAGCTGTTTTTGTTTTGGGTTTTTCTTAATGTCCTTCCTTTTTAAAATGTTGATTGATTGATTTGAGAGAGAGAAACACAGATCAATTGCCTCCTGCACACACCCCTACTGGGACTGAACCCGAAATCTGGGTATGTGCCCTGACCTGGTCTAGAACCTGCCACCTTTTGGTGGGATGTTCCAACCAACCGAGCCATACCCGCCAGGGCTCCTTTCTTGCTTTTTAAGTGTTTTGTGAAAGCCCAAAGTCTGGGAAGGACTGCGTTAATCCAGTCTCTATATACAGCACTGCAGTTGGAGAGATTCATGTTGAACCTCAGCCAAGATATGCAAAGCTAATTATGGAACTGTTAATTACTAAATGCTTAAAAGGTTATTTGAAGGAGACTAATATAGAAGGAAAAAAGCCAGTAATATTTTTACCATAAATTTAAGTCCTCACTTGTTCAGTCATATGCCAATACAATCTGAAATTAGTATTTCAGTTATAAATATGTAGTTTTTTAACCTACAAATCCAAATATCATCGTTATGTAAACTAAATACTTGTGACCAAACAGGCATAATTTGGGGAGACATGCTTTTTAAATATTGCTCACAGATCATTTAGTTGTGTTTATGAACAAAACTGCTTAAGAAGCAAATATATATTACTAGAACCCCAAAATGAGCAAAAATCTAATGAAAGTGTAAGTTGTCAAATGAAAAATATGAGACTGCTCACAAACAATGATAAAAAGAAACTCAAATAGAAAATGTAAGTATAACAGACACAATTTTCCCACTAGATTTGAAAGTTAAATATTTACTATAAAAACTCTTTTGTGCAGATTCTCATAATTGAAAGTTCTCTGGGCTACAGGTATTTTTCAGCCCTGTCATTATGACTTAAGATGTATTCTACTGAATGACTTTGCAAGGAATTAAGTCTTTCTTGTACTGTTAGAAACTCTCAGCTCACAAATTCATGCATTAGCAATTAAATCAAAAGGTACAATAGCCAAAACAAAAAATGTTTTTCAATAGGTAAGGACAAAGTAAAATTGTTAACTAGAATGGGATAAGGTGAAGCCATTTTACACTCACCAATTTTAAGAGTAACTTTTACAGCTAGCTAAAAACACAATAAATTAGGTCTTTAAAGTAGAGGAAACAATTCCACAATAGATGTTTCACCTGAAAAACTGAAAACATTGTGTGTTTAAACACTCTACAGAAGCAATTTCAAGGGGTCTGAACTCAACAACTTAATAAAACGGTTTAGAAAAATCATTTTATTGTTTGAAGCCTTGAGGGATAAAGCTGTTTGTAATTTATTTACGTCTTTTACTTCACTAAATTGCTTTGGTGATCACGCTTCCCATTTAAGTGATTAAAGACATAAACCCAAATAGTTTAATAAAGCAATTACTTAAGAGTCCTGTTTTTCAACAGAGGTGCACTGAAAGGTATCAATAGAACATTTATAGTGTTCATTATGTACAAGAAGGTTTGTTATTCAGAACACAGCGCCCCATTGACTAGAACTTAGCTAGGTTTCCAGACACACAATATGGGACACACTTGGATTAAAGACGACTTTTTTCCTCCTCTCAGAATATCAGGTGAAATAGTGACAAAGGTCAGGTGGCAATTTTTCTATATCTCCTTACCATTCCTCCTCTCTAATGACATGCCTAAATAAAATGCGTTCCTATTTTCCAGGTGGGCCTGAAAAGCTCCCTCATTGTCAAAGCCGGGTGTTTCCACTGGGGTTCTCACCACGCCCAGATTCCCTCCTAGCTAACTACTTAGGTTACACTAGCAACATCACCATGACTTCTAGGCAATTGATTGACCTAAATACAAAACTATGTAAGTCTTCACCAAGTTTTGGAGAGAAACTGGATTGTTGGGGTTTAAAAAAAAAGGGGGGGGGGGGGGGAGAAAGAAACTGAATTTAACAAAAATTATTTCTATATTTTCCTGTATTCTTTTCTTTCAAAGCCCCTTCCTTTTGCCTGTAATGAGAATCACACAAAGGCCTTTACCGAGTCTATCCTGAGAAACAGAAGGAAGCATGACAGCAAAACTGTCCTAGTTCACATCCTTCTGTTCGTGATATCAAGCCTATTTAACGTGTGCTTTTCTTACATTACAAAATTCTAACTCTCAAGCATCCATGAAAAAGACAGCACAGAAGAACTCCCAGCCCTTGCATTAACAAGGCACTCCGTAGAAAAAGCACCTTCAACCAAAACTTTTTTACCTGAGTCCATGTCAAACGTTCATTTTTTTTGACAAGCCAGGTGAAGTTGGAAAACATTCACATGCAAAACTACTTTCTCTTTAAAACAATAATAGATAAGTGTGAGGGTCTGCATTAGTAATAACCCAATGAACATCAACGTTAATAGGGCTGATACTTAAGAATGCAAAACGGCCTGAGCTGGTTTGGCTTAGTGGATAGAGAGGGTCGGTTCCATTCCAGTCAAGGGCACATGCAGGGGTTGCAGACTTGATCCCCAGTAGGGGGCGTGCAGGAGGCAGCCAATCAATGATTCTCTCATCATTGATGTTTCTATCTCTCTCCCCCTCTCCCTTCCTCTTTGAAATCAATAAAAACGTATTTAAAAAAGAATGTACAAAACGTTTGGTAGCTTTCCCTCTGTTTACTTTTGCCCATAAAGGTTGGGTGGGGGCAATGCGCGGCTTTCCGACTGTCAATGAAGCTTTCATCCTGTGGTGTCAGTAGTCACTGGCCCACTTCTGACTCAGGCCAGTACTATGCCGGGTCCGTTTTTATTCTACACAACTGGCACAGGAACAGGAAAGTTTAACAGTTCATTGACTTGGCACAGTCCACATGCTGTCACAGTGCAGGTTTTGTCTCTTACAGTTTTGTTTGGGGAAAAACCCCCCCCCCCCACCCAAGTAGGTTTCCAATCATTGCTATTCTAATTAATCGACAAAAGGCATCACCACTTCCCCCATCTCTAATTTCCATTAAAGGCCTCTGACATCATTTTCTGACCTGTCTTGCTAGGTTCTAATGTTCCCAGCATGTGTGCTTTCACTTGGCACTTCAAAATGCAATTCTTTCATTGAAATGTGCTTTTCCACCACACTAACGGGGAACACGCATTCTCAGCTGCAGAAGACTGATGTGGTGGTCAATTTTTAAACTAATGGTGGATAAGGGAAGGCACACGACACAATTGGTAAATACGTGCAATCTATGATTCCCCCAGATGTGATGGCTCCGTCAAGAAAAACGAAAACATCAAAAACGGTACCAGGTGCCATTCTTGGGCCTTGTCCAAAGGCAGCCAATGGAAGATTCTGTTTTACTCCGTTCTCCCCCACATTAAGTAACAATAATCAACGTCAGAGAAGAGCATTTGGATTTGAACAGATGGCATCCAACACTTAACAAGCGCAGCAACTCTTTCAAGAATTAGATCCTACATGTCTGATGGTCCCACGGATCAGAAGGGCTTATTTGTCTAATAGGGTTGGCAACGAGATATCCTGTAGCCACCATCCCAACGCTTAGGAATATGCGTCATTCCCTAGTCAGCAACTAAAAGCAAAAAAAAAAAAAAAAAATCAAGCCACCACATTTTTATAAAATTTCCCCCTCGCCAGTCCAACTTGAAACGACCAAATCCAATGCCAGCGGCAATTCCTCCAGTTCAAGGAAGAGGAAAATAAGCCTGAAGGTAAACGAATGTATAAAGGTTAACAAACTTATCTAATTTTGACAAGGTTGTGCAACACCAAAGGAATCCGCACGGTGCCCTTCCCGGGGGTGGGTTTGACATGCCTGCCCTGCAAGAATGTCTGCATTTTAAACTAAAAGCACGAACTTAGCTATCCAACTTTTTTCCCGTCATTGGAAAGCTGCATCCCTTTTTCAAAAGAGCAAAATAATAAATACACAAACACCTCAATGCTTTACGTTTAGAAGAAGGCCAACACGAATCGTCTCTCGCAGACCCATACAAGTTTCCTGCAATACCTCTGCCAACACCTCCAAACTCTGAAGGTAGAAGGGGCCACATGCATGAGAAGGAAGGGGCCCGCGGCCAGAGTGGCAGGAGGAGCCAACCCAGGGGAGGTGAGCACCTCCCCTCCCCAAGGCCCCCCAAGATTCACGGGGCCGGGCGTGCGGCTGGGGAGAGGGGAAGCTCATTAGACAATTCCCTCCGCTAGGCAAACGTAGGGGGAAGGTCAGGAATGGGGAGGGCAACGCAAAGGAGACTATCCAGGAGGCGGAAAAGTAAACCCAGGACGACCAGGGAACAAGACTGGGAGATGGGCTGTCACTGGAAGTTGGAGGTCCTATCAGGAGAAGTGGGATGCGCGGGGAGTAGGGGGAACAGGAATGGGGAGGGCAACGCAAAGGAGACTATCCAGGAGGCGGAAAAGTAAACCCAGGACGACCAGGGAACAAGACTGGTGGATGGGCTGTCACTGGAAGTTGGAGGTCCTATCAGGAGAAGTGGGATGCGCGGGGAGCGCAAATGCGCCAAGTCCCGACGGGTCTCACCTGGGAGGTCCTCTCCGCAGGGTTCTTCATCACCGCTTGGCGGAAGCTTTTATCCACGTAGGAAGCCAT